TTGTTCTGTCATCAGGCAAAGATTGTCTCATGTAATGGAATATGAAAATATTATTACACTCTATCATGTATATCTTTGAGTATATTTCTTTTTATTTCTTTTGAAAATTTTCGAATAGAAGTAATACTGTCCTTGCTCTTCATTTTAATCTATTGTATTTTATCTTCCTTCGGTTTAACAATCAGTTCTGGATTCCAAATTTTTAGTACGTGTGAAGCAAGTTCTTCAACATCTGTCTGATCGAAATTGGAAAAAAGGACAACCGATAGTTGCGCATCTAAAAGTCGAATAATTATTGATCGAAAGCCTTGCCATGAGCCAACATGTTGAATAATGCGCATTCCATTGATTGTTTCTGATAATCTCCAACCAAAACCGTATGGATAAGTTTTATTATTGGTCAATTGAATTGGATTCCACATTTCATCGAAACTTGCCTGATGTTTGAGTAGTTTATCGCCATAAAGTGCAGCATCCCATTTAGCCATATCGTAAATGTTGAGATACAAAGCTCCATCAGCAAAAGTGTTCAATGAAGGTGCAATCCAAGCCTGATTTTGCAGTTCATTATTGACGAGAACATATCCAGCAGCACGGTTTAGAATAATGTCCGCTTCACTGATCACTCGTGCTGTAGTCATGTTCAGAGGATTGAAAACATACTGCTTAAGAAAATCTCCATAAAACTGATTGGTTACTCGATGAATCAAAATTCCTAGCATCACATAGCCAAGATTATTGTAAGCCCATTGTTCACCTGGTTGAAATGTCAGTGGAATAGTTTTAATCAGCATGTACATATCATCTTCGGTACAATCAGTACGAAAATTAAAATCTTGAGGATAATTAGTCATTCCCGAAGTGTGTGTTAAGAGGTGTCGAACATTCTTCCATTCGTTTGGTACATCTGCGAAATATGTGTCAATTGTTGCATCTAGTTGAATCTTTCCATCTTCAACCAGCATCATTACAGCCATCGCCGTAAATTGCTTGCCGATCGAACCAGATTGGAAAACAGTTTCAAGTTTGACAGGAATTTGATGTTCAATGTTCGAATAACCGTAACCTCTACCATAGATAATCTGCCCGTCTTGAATTATAGCGAGTGCAATGCCTGGAATCTTGTGTTTTTCCATCTCTGCTCTGATGTATTCGTTGATCTGAGCTATAATTAGAAACAAATAGAGTAATATCTTACAAGTTTTAAAACAACCCATTTTTATTATTCTGACAGGAACCCACGTAATAGGATTTCGAGTTAGAACTATCTTACAACATTTTCCTTGTCACCAAGTTTAGCGCATAACTAGATCAATTTTGCAAGAGAAATCTTACTAAAACACTTTTTCGATAGTTTTTTTTCAAAAAATATCAGTTTATAGTGAGGATCCTTTAATCACATGAAATATGAACTGATCGAATCAATTCTCTTATAGGCAATCAAAAGAGCAAACATTTGTTAACAAGTTAGAAAGTGTATAAACAATGAAGACATTGTACTTTTCTGTTCAATTAAATTTGTCTGTATCGGTCAATACTTATGAAAGTACTTCGGGCAGCTTTGAGCTATTTGACAGGAATTACCTTATATATCAAGTACTTATGAAAATTTGCAAGTGTCCAACATCAAACCTAATAAAAGGTTATTTTCTAAATTTAATAGAATAGAGCAAAAAAACGAAAATATTGATAAACAATCCTTCTTTGTCAAACGATGCATTAATACTACTACACCTTTAAACCACTAGAATCATCCAACTCGATCTCTTATAAGATGATATCAACCTACCATTTGTCGTATTTGATACAGATGCCTGCATTGTTTTCAATATGTAAAGAACATCAAATACTAATGAAATGGCAAAAATCAGGAAACTAGAATAAAGGTTGAATAAAACTAAATAGATATCATATATCATGTATGCAAATGGACTATACTTGCTCAAACTTTTTGCATATTCTGTGTATGGATTTTAAAAAAATAACTTTTTTTTATTGTCTCTTTTTACGCTATTATAAAATATCCAGTGATTACAGAGTGCTTGTGAAATTTGCCAGCAGATACAACATATTTTTCTCTCTTTCTTCTTCAAACAGAAAGACGGTTCGCTGTGCTGATTTATTAAAGTTACACAGAATAATATGTTCTACACAGCCGTTTTTTTTTCTCATACACCAAACACTTTTCCAGTGATTATTCTTTTATCTTGTTGTCTGTCTCATACTTTGAATTGTTTTTCTTGTTAAAAACCATATCTTTAGTTTTTAGAGCATGGATGCTTTGAAATTTTCTATAATGGCATATTAATTAGAAAACTAGGCGACGAAAAATCGATTTAAGATGAAATCTACTGTTGACAGTTCCTAGTCTATTGTATTAAAATAAATACAACATAAAATTAATTTAGATTTGTTTAGTAAAATTCGTATCTTATACAAGTTTGTCTTCGTTACATAAGAAGTTGGCAACTATATCTACTTTGTGTTGACCTAAAACAATGGTAAGAGTGCCAAACCATGCGTCGTTTAGTTCTTCATATTTTCTCTCATCAATGACTTGTACTTACTATCTAAACGATGTCAAATCGTTTTTATCTATCGACTTTGATCTCTCGTTTATATTCCGACCATTTTCTAATTGCTGTTCGAGCAGCTTGATCTAAGTAAGTGTTATCTTTGACAATTGATGATCTCAATGGTTTCTATTCTGATTGCAAATTACTGCCAGACCACCACACATTTCCACATTGTATAGGCTTTGGCAGATATGACAGTTGAAGCCCATTCTATAGACAAATCTTTTTTTTTAAAAAGCAAATGAAAAGCTGTGTATGTCAGTTTGCAGTTTCTCAACATGTTGCAGCTTGTTATGTATGGATGGATTTTTTTATTAAATAAGAAATATCATGAGAGTATTGACGATATGCAACTTTGATGAGGCATCAATGCTGACTTTCTTTATACTATATTGAGAACAAAAGGACAGTGTACCATCGAAAGCGGAGAAATTTGTGACTGTGCTATTTATGTAGTTGAATTGTTTAGAAGTCATGAGAGTTATCTAGTCGATCGTTTTTTGAATGATTTCAATGCTGCTCTATGGTCGTCCTCTTGGACAATAAATTGCTCTAATCGAGATGCTGATTTTTTTATCTAGTAACTTGTAGGTCATCCTGTAGCAAAAAAAAAACATTCAACATCCTTTTTTCTGACGAATTTTTTCTTCTGGGAATTTCAGTTGTTATTTATGATTAATATATCATGCGACACAGTGATGTCTGTACTTTCCCACTATACTGATTATTGAAAAACAAACAAACTGTAATAATCTTAGTGAAGAAAAGCAAAAGAAGGGAGGGAAAGAGTCGCTTGGCAAGCATTGCATATTAGTTCTATAAAAAAACGTTAAAAAGCCTGCAGTATACTCAGAGTCCTAATGAACCATAGACTCAACGTCTATATAAGTTATGTCAATTTATTCCAAATTCATGATTTTCCAGTAATACTCTTGCCATTCCTCTCGTAATGCGACGCAATAATCATAGAAATCCCGATCATACAGGTAATCGCCGTCGTCACTCATCGATAGTATGAGTTTCAGTGGCATTTGAGGACTTGATTCACCATTTGTGCCATTATCAATATTCTCTTCTTTACTCACTTGTGTCATCCATTGAACTACTTTCGTAGATAGAATATCTTGTGGACAATTTGTTTTGACAATGACAGTTGTATGATGTCTCAAATATGGTCTATAGACTTTCGGTCGTATTAATATGTTATGAATACAATCACCGATCGATCCACCATTCTTACTTCATATATCATGCTTGTCTAACGCTAAATTCATAGAAAATTCGACATCATCTTTATCTGTATCTAGAAAGTGTATGGTCCACTGAGGCATACAGAATTCTGGTAGCGACAAATCTAGACGATCATATAATTGAATCAACGTCAAAATATTTTTGTGCTCTGGAAGTTTTGCAAATAATTTTGATAATTTTTTCTACCATTTTCAAGATAAATTAATAAGTGAAGTAAATACTCGTATGGTATTTCTTCTGCATCACCTAATAGAAATTGATTATCATCATTCCTCTGTGATTTCGTTAGCTGATGTTGATCATTTGAAGCGATAGCAACCAGTTTTGACAGATACGATATTAAATCAACAATTTCTTAGAATAAGGTCAATTCTTTGTTCTCTTTTGGGCGTGGATGCTCAACGAAAGTATACTCATATCCATATCCATATTCATACTCACACCCACACCGTATGCGACAAAAATAAAATATATCTTGATATATTTGAATTAATTTTTTCATGTCTTCATTAATTTATATCATTCTTTGAGAAAAAAATATTTTTCATAAGCATCGTATTAACATAGAACAAAATTATTTGAATTAAAAAAAAAAAAGATGATCAATTGGAAATTGAAATAAAAAACTAGTAATGACATATTCATTATCAATTCAAATTAAAAAAAACCAACAAAAATCTATTCATAAACGATCTAAATAAAGATCTTTTTTTTCAATGTTACAAATATTAGTTTTTGTTCATTTGAAAAATATTCTTTTTTCATTTGTAGGGATAGTTACATTTCTTTGTTGACATGATTTTTATATCAAATAAATTCTTAAAACATGATGAAATGTTATTTTAGGATTTTTTAAATGATGTTTTTTTGAATTTTTTCATTCTTTATAAATTTATCGCTCAAAAAACAAAAACATTGCAAAATATCAAATACTTAATTAAGAAAGTTCGAAATTTTCAAAAGACACACAACTCAAATTGATTTATTTGAAAATTGAAAAAGTTCTAATAGATTTCTGCAAGAAATAATTGTTCGTTTTTATTTGTTTTTGCAATTATTTTAAATTGAAAGCGTTACTTAAAAAAGTATTTACAATAATGGGAACAATTCAGGTCAAAGTTTATGTTTCTAGAATAGAAGAGAAAAAAAAAAACTTGCGATTGTTTGTTTCTTTTATGAAGCGTTGTGAAAAATACCATTAACATGTTTCAAAGTTCCACTCTGTTCCTTGATCAATACTACTATGAAACAAATCAAAATTCAGCTGTATATTTATAATATTCATTCATTATCAATGTCATTGGAAAAAATTGTGGAAACTAAAGCGATGAAAATGTTTGTAAATTTAATCCCTTCTATCCTGCATGTCATTTTGTAGATGCCATGCAGAACGCAAAACAAATATTTAGCGTTCTGTTGTCTTCTTAGACAATAGATATCATACAATATGTTTTCAGAAAAATCCTTTCTTAAAACTATCGATAATAGTGTCAGATTCCACACAAAACTGATTGTGACGAGAGAATACAAGAGAAAGGTATAGATGTGGATTAAGAAAAGATACTCACACTCTCACCAATATCGAGATCTATATCCGCACAATCACACCCTTATTAACATCATCGCACACGTATCATGTACAGAACTGTATCGTTGCTGAACTATTCACGACATTGTGAATCATTTTAACCCAGCGCGGTGCGTGGTTCTCGTTGGGCAGTATTAGCATGAATCAAAATTTTATATAGACAAGAAAATTTCTCATACATCGATAAAGAATCGATACAGCTTATTTTAGCAAAAAACAAAATCAATTACAACTTTTTTTTAACCATTTCAATGTTTTCCTTTGTTTGTGAGATATTCGGATCTGTTGGATGGAGAGTTGTCTGCTGAATATAAAGTGCTTTCTCGTAGAACGAAAGTGCTTTTGAATATTCTCCCATCTTATAATATATCCCTCCAATGCAGCTCTGAGAGATAGCCAAGTCAGGATGGTTTGGAGACAAAGTTTTCTTTTGCATATCAAGTGCTTGTTCAAAAAATAAAAGTGCTTTTGGATTATCTTCTAAGTTCTTATACATTAAACCAATATTGACATAAGAAAAAGGCAAGTCTGGATGGTTCGAAGGAAGAGTTTTTTGTTGGATATCAAGTGCACTTTCGTACGATGCAAGCGCTTTCCCGTACTCACCCATTCTCTCATACAACCAACCCATTTTGCCATAAGATTTAATCAAGTCGATTTGATTCGGAGGAACTGTTTTTTGTTGCACATGAAACACTTTTTTGTGAAATGAAAGTGCTTTCGAATATTTACCCATCCTCTCATACACCTCACACATGTCGTTGTAGGACGTAGAAAAGAGCGGATGATCAGGAGGCAGAGTTTTCTCGTATATATCCCGTACTCTTTCGTAACAAGAAAGTGATTTCCGGTACTCGTCCATGTTCAAGTACACAAAACCCATGTTGCGATAGGTAAAAGCCAAATCAGATTGATTCGGAGTGGGAGATTTTTGTTGAATATCAAGTGCTTTTTCTAACGACGATAGTGCTTTCGTGTACTCACCCATGCCATGATAGATCATGCCGATGCTGTTGTATGAAGCAGTCAAGTCAGAATGATTTGGTGAAAGAGATATTTTCTTAATATTAAGTGCTTTTTCGTGCCATGAAAGCGCTTTCGTGTACTCGTTCATGCTATCATATACATTACCGATGTCTATGTAGGATATAGCCAAGTCAAGATGATTCGGAGGAAGAAATTTTTTCATTATCGCAAGCGCTTCTTGGTACGATGAAAGTGCTTTCGCATACTCGTACATACAATGATACATAATACCGATGTTGTTATAGGAAATAACCATATCAGGATGATTCCATAGAAGAGTTTTTTTCTGGATATTAAGCGCTTCTTCGTACGATGAAACTGCTTTCGCGTACTCGCCCATGCTATTATATACATTACCAATGCTGTTGTAGGAAACAGCCAAATCATAATGATTCGATGGTAGAGTTTTTTTCTGGATATCAAGCGCTTCGTCGTACGATGAAAGTGCCTTCGAGTATTCACCCACGCAATGATACATCAGACCGATGCTGTTGTAGGAAGCAGTTAAATCATTATGATTCGGTGGAAGAGTTTTTTTCTGGATACTAAGTGCTTCTTCAAACGATGAAAGTGCTTTTGCGTACTCGTTCATGGCAGAATACATATTACCTATATATATGTAGGATTTAGCCAAGTCAAGATGATCTGGAGGAAGAGAGTTTTTTTGAATACCAAGTGCTTCTTCAAACGATGAAAGCGCCTTCGAATATTCGCCCATGCTTGTATACACATTCCCGATGTACATGTAGGATTTAGGAAAGTCAGGATGATTCGTAGGAAGATATTTTTTCCTAATATCAAGTGCTTTTTCGCAGAATGACAATGCTCTAGAGAAGTCACGCATTTCTTTATACATCATCCCAAGTTGATTATTGTATTCTGCTTGCTCTGTAGGAGAAGATGATTTTTCCAACAGGAGTTGATAAAGTTGTTCGGCTTTTGCAGACTCTCCTACGTTAATAAGTATCTGACCTAGTCGGGACCATCCTGTTAGCGAAGAAAGCTCTTGCTGCATTTGCACGATCAAATTATTCGTATCATTTTCTTGACCATTGGTCAGAGTGAGATTTACTTGCCAGAGACGATCGGTATGTTGGTCTTGAATTGGTTCAATCTCGTCGATTCGGAAAATAGTGTGTGTCGAAAAAAGAATTATCTCATCTTTTTCTTTGAAATAGGCGACGTGTTTGACGTCAGCAAAAGGAGCTGTTGATGTTGCACAGAGTGCTGGATCAATAGTCATAACAAACAGTATTCCTACCGAATTAGGATCGCATGCTGCTGGAAGTGCGAATTTCGTCAGGGAAATATTCCGATTACGACTCGTTGAAAGAAAGTTGTTAAACGACATAAGTCCTCCTTTGGTTATTTTCATTTTTTCGAAATCTTGAATAGACAAACCCTGACCTCGATACACTTCAAATATACTTGTTGCTCTTGCTGATGTTGATTGTTGTTCATGATATTGCTTTTCAATATCTTCATATAGATGTCGAATGAAGAAGCCTATTTTTAGTATAATATCGATATCAAGCGTTCGAAGACCTCGATTGAGCATCGAATAAATAAAATATGGAGCTGTATACCACCAAATGGGTGTATGATCACGATAGTTTTGTTCGATCTTTTTAATTTCGTCTTCAGGAATATCATCTTGAAGACGGCAATACTCAACAAGTTCTTGGATGGATTTAGTATCGTCATAATCAATTTTCAAAAAAGCTTCCTTAAATAATTGTGTGTACATAAACGATACATCAATACCACGAAAACTCATTGAAATCATTGCTTGATCACATCGTTCACAATCGATTTGTAATGCTTCACAAATTAACTTGGCATGATTATGGACACCCTTTACCTTTGACATTGTCTTGGCCCATTGTTCATGAACGGATTGCTTTCTACAGAAGACGTAAACTGAATCTAATTGTGGCCATTCATGAATTGTCGGTAATATATGTTGTCCCAGTGAGCCAGATACAATCATGAATACTTTTTCATTATTAATTTCACGAATAAAATCTATGCATTGTCGGGCATTGGTAAAGATTGTAATTGATGTTACAATATGCCGGAGACGTTTCAATGCATTTTTAAAATCTTTCTTTGATTCATCCATATTAGCATCGAGCCATACGAGAAGATAATTTTGTAGAACCCGATGGACACGTTGGGACAGCATGGCATCTTGATTTGTGGTAGTGGTGTCAACTGCCACGACTGGTTCACTAGCGGCATACGAAAACGATGATGATTCATTGGATTTATTAGTAGTGGAGGAAGAGGATGAGCCACTAGCAGCGGTTGCCGACGATTTCCTTTTGTCCATGATGAATGGATACAATAAGCACAATTATGTCCTAATTATATGTATGTATTATTGTTTTCTGTTTTTTGTCGATATTTCTCTTCTGTTGATTGGTGTAGTTGTGTGTATGTGTTTTGTTTGTCAATTGAAGGATCTACTTTGATTTATTCATTTGAAGAGTGCTGACCACGTAACGACGTCTAACTATCTCTGTTCGGTAAATAAGAAATGAAGAACAGGAACGAAAATATATGCATGAATACTCGTCATTTAATGAGAAGAAGAACGAAAAATTATAAATGAAACGAATGAATGCTTTTTATGGTTATCAAACTATTTACTCACATAGTAATAGGCATGTATGTACAGCAAGCAGCTCGACGAAGAGAAGGATGAGTGGGCCATTACACATGTGTGTTTTGTTTATTAGTTTCATTCACCTTAACAAGACTCAAAAACAAAATGCGAAAAAAATTATTATTCATTGATTGATTGATTTTATCGTTGGAAATTGGCAAGTCTACTACTAGCACATTGTACTGATTAGGTCCCGTTTCGTCGAAAATTTATTTTTCTTTCATTCCCATTTCGTCGAAAATGAAAAAACGACTGTTCCCATTTCGTCGAAAAAATAAATTCTGCTTAATCAACGAAGAATAGATTATATCATTTGATGAGATTTTTCATCATACTAATCAGGAATAGTGCCTATTTACTTGTAGATCAGTTTGTCAAAAAAAAACTTTATTATAGAGCAGATTTAGATACATAAATAATAAATTATTAGGAGAATATATGAATATAGAAAAGAAAAAAACCAACACTTTTCTTATTCCAATTAGTCCCAGAAATTTTTCAAGAAATTTATTCAACGTTAATGTTTGTTGTTTAAAACGTTCGTTTAATTTATGTAATCGTACATTTCGATTTACAGATAAATTTTTTCGTGGAGGTAATTACCAGTTGCTAAAAGACATGATGAGAGTGAATGTGAGTGTAAGAAGAAAACATCCACATCCACCCACAACACCTATGAACGATTTTCACATTTCCAATAAACAGTTGTATTTAAAATTTGATTTTGTGTAGCGAAAAGTATCTAGTATTAAATTTGGTATATTACGTTTACTTTCAACAATAAATAGCATCATTTTGTGTAATAATGAATGAATATAGAAAAAAAAATTGAATTTTTCCTTTTCCTGCTCATATTTATACTTTTTCAAAAATACAGATTACTAGTATAGGGATATCAATTAGTTTCTTTTTAAGGAAATAGTTTAAGTCAATCAAAGAAATCTAGTTTATCACTCTGATTATACTATTTTTCATGACAGTTTAATTTTTCGACGAAACGGGAACAGCCGTTTTTTCATTTTCGACGAAACGGGAATGATGAAAAAAAGGGTACCAAATTTTTCGACGAAACAGGAAAATCAATTAAGCTTTCGACAAAACGGGAATCCACCATTGTACTTGCTTGAAAAAATAATAGACAAAATCTTGGCATGACGGAGTGGATTGCGGTATACGCTTTATCCACATCCACTCTCAGTTTAGCCTGTTCTTTATCGATATCAATTGTCGTATTATTTTATAATGATCTTTGTGGGTGGTGCATGAATATTTTTTTTTTCTAGTACTTGCCATCGCCAATGTGTTTCTCTCTACAGTAAAGTACGTAACTTTCTGCACATTTATTATCAATTATTACAATCATAGTATAACAACGAATATGAATAAATTAAAATAAACATCTTTTCAACAATGAAGTATTATTTAGCGTAAACCAAGTAACTTTTAATGCATCGTCTGATATTAGAATTATTTTTGTACGTATGAATTGCGCATCAATATAACCTGTATTTGCAACTAAAAAATAAAAAAATAAAAAATAAAAATTTTACTTTATAAGGTTTCTTACTTTGTCCAATGCCTTCATAACATATTGAAGAACCTGAATCAACTTCAATAGGATGTGTAGCTGCAAAAGAAATTTTACTATGTGGTACATTAGGATCTCCGAAAAATTTTCTAGCAACTAAAGCATGTGGCACAATTTCTACATCTTTTGATATACCATCGACGGTTGTCGGACATATAAAATCATGACAAACCTCCAAATAAAGTAATTCAAGACCATGATAATCATACTATCCTACCCAAAGTCCATTGAAACGTGCTAATAGATGATCATTATCACCAATTTTTGGTTGAGGAATTGAAAGAGGATGATAAACAGTTGATAAATTATTCGAACAATGTCTTGTAAAATAGATATCGTGTTCTTTCGGACTATCCATAAAATCATGATCATGTGCAATCAACGACGATCGTTCATTGACAGATAATGCCTCTTGTGATAAACCGAAATATTGTTGATTTGAATCAAAAT